ATTTTAGTTTCTTTTATTTAATTAATTTAATTAAATTAGTATGATTTGTATAAATGTATTTCTACCCGAGTAAAAAATTTTAAATATTCTTTCTTCTTATGTAGTATTTTAGCAAACATATAAGTAATTTCCTTTATAAATGAATGGTGATGACATATAAGTAATTTCTTTTATGAATGAATTGATTTCACGATTTTTTCAATTATAATGTTTGAATAAAATTTTATAGCATTTTTTTTTATTTTTTTACCCTCATCCTTTGACACATATTAGTAATTCTGCGTTAACGCCTTATGCGGCAAAAAGTGTAATTTTAATAGACAATTATATTGATTCACGCAAATTGTTTGATGTTTCCATGGAATTTTATTGTTTGTTCCAATGGTATCATATATGTACTTGCGTAAAACAGGGATGCAAAAGCTTAGATTTGAGCAAACTTTTAATGTGGTAAAATTAATTATAAAAATGAGATTCAGTATCTGGCCTTATTGTTGATATATCAGCACGTAATATACTGAATGTTGAGTAATTATGGCTTGCTTTTAGCAAAGTAATTTAGCCCGTAAAAAATCGTTTATTTTTAATAACCCGAAGACTCAGTCATAATATGGAGCAGAAAATATAAAAATAAAAAAAAAAATTAAATGGAATATTTTAAAATTACTTCAATTTTTGTACTTTTGACCAGATTGAACTGCTTTTGGTCACAAATATTTTCAATAAAAAAATTAGCAAAAACTCAGAAGACCAAATATTACATTATCCTTCTTCTTGCCAATCAAGCTGCGAATGAAGTTGAGTTACCCATCTTTGTCGTTTATTATATTTTTTTTATTATAATATAGTGAATTGCAATATGGAAGTAATTGTTCATTTCTTTCTATTGTTCATAAATTATCTTCTACTCATAATGTACTTTTAGCCACTTTTATTAGAATGATTTAAAATAGGATTTGCCATATCTGACCTCAGTACTACCATCAGCTGATTTCGTTCCATGCATATCAAAACCGCATTGCTGTTAACCTGGTTTTTGCTTTGGCCTTCAATCTAGATTAGTTGAAAACTTAAAATGATAATTCATAAGTTCACAAATTATAATTAAAATAAATCATTATTTTTAGTTAGTTCTTCTTTCAAATATAAGCATCTACGAAATGCATATAAATTCCTATAGTCATCATTTTAAAAATCATTCAAAAATAGAAAAGGATCAACCATTGGGCTACTTTCTCACAGCAATTAGTAAAATATAGTCTACACAAAAAATAACAGATTATAGAAGGCAACTTCTAATTTCTCTTCTTATAAAATTTATTTAATTTTTTATCAAATATTTTAAGAGAGATCAAATGTTTTCTTTATCATTTTTATGTTCGAAATAAGAAGCTTTAGAAATGTAATAAATTTAATAATTCAGTTTATATAATTTGATTAACTGATTGAAGGGAATTATAATTTAAAATTTTACCATATACTATTTGAGGAAGATCAATAAGCTTATTTGAAATAAGCTGTCTTAGAGAATGCAAAAATTATACTATTCAATTGATTGAATTCTGATTGAAGTAAACCACCGAAAAATGTATCAGATATCATCTTCAACAAATATATTAAATCATATGATTTTTGATAGAATTATTTCTTAAAGGGTATTGTATAATAAAACTTTGCATCCAGGCATCAAATATGCCACCATTTCAGAAATTAAGCAGTCTGCGATGAGCTCTACTGCATTTTTTTGAGGGATTTTGAAAAGCAAATCGTATTCTTTTATAAAATATACCATTTCAACGTTTAACCTGGATCTTTGTATGCGAAATATTGATTATTTTCACATGGTTTCTGGTGCCGGTACGTGTTGCTACCATTAAACTCTGAAGGCCAAGCAAAATCGAATTCAATATTACTTTTCACCCATCATTAGGATGGTGAGGTCGTGCGTTTTCCGCAATGAAGTTTCTTTGTGATAATGTAATGGTCGATTATTCCTAGAATAAGCCTGAAAATGAGATTCAGTGTTAATAGAACGGTGTACAAAAGTGCTTAATGTGCCAAAACGACTAAGAAGTACATCAGTATTTACCACAAAATCTGAGAAGTTACATATTATTAAAATGACCACACTGTGAAAATTGTTCTTGGTAAATGGATCGGTCGATGGTGGGCACGATGTCTTCCAAATTAGAAAAGAAAGAGTTTACAAAACCGATTTTTCATGATAACGATTTTGCAAGGGAAATCACCAAGATTAATGAGTACGAGAAGTTTGTCCCACTTTTTATTCAATATCAAATATTGCGCAAGAGGATGAACTCTATCTGTGATGTCTTCAATGGGATAATGTATGAACTTCAATATATTTTGGCTAATAAGTTGGAATTCCAATTTAATAATGCTAATATGGTAGGATCAACTATCGAACTACAAGTAAGTGAACTAAATAAATTTTTACTGAAATATTTGAATTAACTTATCATTGATCTGTAATAAATCAGTAATGGTAAATGATAAATTAATTGTAGTAACAAGTTAATGTGGTATGAAAATTGTTACCTTGTAAGATTTTTCAAAGCCATGATTGTTTTTAGTTTATTATTTTTCTAATTTTTTCATTTCCAAATATATAACATTCTACCAAATTGTTTTTTTAATATTTTTTGAATATTAAATTATGATTCAGAATGATTATACTTACAGTTGAGTTTGAATAAAAATTCATAGAGCAAGGCATTTTTATGAACATATATATTAGTTTTTATACTTATTAATACATTTACATTAATTATTAAAATCTCAATTTATATTTATGCAGGATTTTGATGGTTTGGCAATAAATTGTGAAAAATGTTTGAAGTTCACAAGAGTATTGAAATCTAAATTAGTTTATAACGATTTCAATCAAGTCTTGGCTTATAAGGTAATTGGGAATAGCTAAAATAAAATTAATATTTATCTTACATAATTTATTATTATAATTTTATCAATATAACAGGTAAATGATACTAGAGAACATCTTTGGCGTATAAAATTGAAGCTGATGTATCATATGAAGCAGCTGGCTTTTACCTTAATTCCTTTGTTTATATATCGTGCTGAAAGTGATTCTATATTCTGTGTTCTTTTAAGGTAAAAATTTAATCTTATTTAAAATTAATTATTTGATTAATTACTGTTGATTGTTTAATATTAGATTATGTTCTATATATAATGATGCCATTAAAACTGATTCAAAATTAAGTAACGCTAAAAGCAGCCAAATTTCAAGTAATACTTATCCTACCATGTTACAACTTCCTAAACGAATTGATATTAAGGCTTTATTGGAAGTGAGTAAAATGCATTCTTAAAATACCAAGTTTTTAGACTAATATATACTAATATTTAAACACTCCATTTTTTAACAGGCAGTTGCAAAAGTTAGAGCTGAATATACGTGTCATTCTTTAATATCAGCATTGCTAACGCATTATACACCTTGCGAAGATCATATAGAATGTGATTCTGAAGATTCCAGTATTGCAATTTATAAGTAATCCTAGTATTCATAAAAAACATATTTTTGAAAATATTTTTAACTCTTTATTAACTTTCACAGAGCGCTGACCAGACATCTCACACCACCTGTAAATTCTTTATTTGCGGATCAACTAGGTATTAAGATTGGAGAACTATCTTCCACTAAACCTCCTGTAAATGAAGAATTTTTAAATCCCGATCCAGTTCAAGATAAAATTTCCACTGACGACTCTGAATTAAATCATTATTTTGACCGTATGAATTTGGAATTTACTAAAAACAATAAGAAATTTGAAGATGACCCAATGAAAGACACTGCCCGCGTTATCGACGAATTAGTAAAAGAGGAAGAAGTAACTCCTGGAGATATGATAAAATCAGCACAAGTAAATGCACCAAATATATTTGGTAAAAATTATAAGATGTCTATAATTATTGCTTACGTTTAGATTTTGATTTTGTTTGCATTTTAAATTTCCAGACAAAAAGTTCACTGAAGCGAAGATTGGAAATCTTTTACAACATTATGCTACCAATTTATGGAATGAGGTTGGTGTTTTCCTTGAACATGTAGTACTTTGGTGGGGCTCTTCACCTTTAGCTTCCTTACCACCTGGTTGTAGTCAGCAACTTAGAGAATGGTTATTGCAACCTAAAAATAGAGGTAATGAAAAATTATTATTATTATCTGAAAAAGTATATTATATAAATTTTATCTATCATTTGTAGTTTTACCAAAGGTTGTTCGTGGGGCCTTACGAACATTTGCCAACGCTTTGGGATGTCATGTTACAGCAACTTCTTGGGACTTGCAATTTAGATTGACATTGATAGGAGGCAATATTCTAGATGATTGTATAAAAGTTGAAACAATCAGAAGTACTGCTCCAAGCAGGGTAATATTTTTATATATTCAGATGAACAATATAAATTTATTGATAGTATATGGTTTGTTTTGTAGTTGCAGGGTACAGAAACTGGCCAAATGTTTGCCGATTTATTGTTTAATTTAGTTTCATTAAGCAACCAGTGCGAGCAAACTGATGATTTTCTTCACGGTGCTCCTCTTGCAGATTTGCCATTAGTTGAGCAAATTCCTATCCTTCATAGACTAGGTATAAAGCTGGCATATCAACATCCAATATTTTTATATTTTTTTAAACTCGCTAATTTTAGATCATTCAATCCATACTATGCGTTTATGGGCTGGACGTGACACTAGACGTTCAGCTAATGATTGGAATGTGAAATTTTTCTTTATGGTAACTCAACAAGACATTTGCCTATGTTTAGATCAGCTTGGTATACTTCGTTTTCCTCAAGCCGGTGTCAAAGTGACTATAAAACCTACTGATGTTCATATCAATGTTTGTTATAATTTAAAAGAAAAACTTTTGTCAGAAATTAAAGTCAACATTGATAAATTGAAGGTAACAATTTTAATGTGCTCAGAAATTAAGGTAAAACGTTAATGGTTTTGGTTTTTGGATTAAATTTTATTTCAGAAAACACGACAAGAATGCATCGATGTTTTGGCATCAGTGTGTCGAACCTTTAGCCTTGCAAATTTGACACTATTGTTTCCTAGGTCTCCTGGATATTGGCAAAAAACCAAATTTGAACTTCCAGTTAGCAGTTATGTAAATGAATTTTTAGGTAACGCATGCACTTAACACATTAATTGTACTATTAATTATTAAATTTGTATTATACTTCTAGATAGAATTTTGCTGCCAGTTTTAGAAACTTGTGATGATCTTGAAATTTTAAATTTAGTGCTAAAGATAATGTGTGATGCATGGTTGGATCATATTTATGCATGTCAAATTCGATTTAGCAAATGGGGAGTTGAACAACTTTTAAATGATTTTGGGGCTGTCGCCGACTGGTTACGTGAATGTTCCATTCTGAGCGACGAAGCTAAAAAACAAATGACCAAAAATGAAGTTCTCAGGTATTTTCAAAATATATTAGCATAGACCATTATTCATTACCAAGAATTCTAAGAACTGTATCTATCATATGTGGATTGCCATTTTTGCATATTATTATCAATCACGTCGCGTCATTTTTATAATGGCGCTTTTGCACGCAATACCTAATATATAAGTCATATCTGAGTGACAGAATTTGGTGATTTATATGAATATTTAAGTGAAAATAGCAGAGCATTTTTGATTTATTACCCATTCAAAATGAAGGCTATAATATCATTCCACCTTTTCAGACAATGTGAAGGCGTTGGCAGACTTTTATTGCGGAAGCCCAATGAATTCATCGATATGACTAATAAGGGTATATTATTATGAATATAACAATACATTCTAAATTTTATAGGATGTATAATTTAGCAAATCATTCTTATTTCAGGAAATAAAACTGAGGATGATGAAGAAAGCTTATTGCCTCCGGAGATGTTTGTGCCCAACCAACAACAATGGCTTAAGTTAAGAGTTGGCAAACGACATCCACCAAACTGTTTAAATCTTTTTCTCTGCTGTGTAATGACAAATATTAACTAATAATTGTAAGTGTAAATTGTAAATAAACTGCTACATAATTTGTTTATACAAAAGTGTTTATTTGAATCGCTTTACACCAGAGTTGAGAAAAGTATATGTATACAAAATTCTGATCTTTCATCTATGTTTTCAAACAACTGCTCCGATTTCAAAAATTCAAAAAGTTATTCGATAAAACTGCAATCATTTCTCATGCATTAAGTACATAATTCATACATAATTTCAATAATTTTTTCTATGTTTTTGCCAAAAAAATTTCGAAACATATCATTTGAAATTTGTGCTGATTAGTTTTTGGTAAAGATTAGCCTGGCAAATATACTTTGTAATAATTTGATCATTTTTTTGGCAATTTTAATTAAACTGTGCAACAAACTTATTGTTAAAACAAACATCCTAAAATATTATAAGCCTACGTTTTTGTAATAATTTGATAAATTTTTTGACAATTTTAATTAAACTCTGCATGTTTTAACTAATTTATGGTTGAAACAAACATCCTAAAATATTATAAGCCTACGTTTTTGGTAAAGATCAGTCTGGCAGATATACTTTGTAAAAAATTGATCAATTTTTTGACAAGTTTAATTAATCTTTGCATGTTTTAACAAATTTATTATTGAAACAAACATCCTGAATTATTGTAAGCCTACGAAAATTGGTTAAATTATAATAAGTCATTAAATAACATTAAGCCATCAGAGTTTGGAAAAATTACTGCTTTTTTGGAACCTCGACCTTGTATGTGTTAAGTATTTCTTTTTGTACTATAATTAACAAAATTACATATAATGCAGATTGATTTGGAAGCAATTAGAAATGCCATCAATTAAATTTTGGTAAAAAGTAAAAATTTTATTTGGAAAATAAACAGTTGGAAGATTTATCGTAATTATTTCAAATATAGCTAATTTTTTTTTATTTTTATTTATATATACATTAATTTCATATCTCAGTCAGACAGAGGTGCCTGGTATGAGAGATTATAAAAAACAGATTTCATAACTATCAATTCCAATTCAGGCGATTATTCATACATATCGGAAAGATTATCCAACTAGCTGATTATTATTATTATTATTCAAATGCCATGTAATTAGCAATTGTAATACAAAATTATATCAGATACCATTAGAACTGTTTGGTACAATTCTTGTGAAAAACTGTAAATAATTGTCCAACCTTTAAATATTTTTAGAATCAATAATAATAAGGTTTAATAAAACTGTTTATAATTATATTCCAGGAAAAATTGTTTTAGCTGGATACAGCCAAACTGGTTAGCAGCTGGAAGGTTGGATTTGTTCTTCAGCAAAATTACTACTTGCGGCACCTGTGATCGAAAGAACTTCTACAGGTAACTCTCCTCCACAGATGTCATGTTAAATATTCTGCATTGGATTTCCCACATGGTTGTATCAGTTCGCGTCCAACTTTCTTCTTTCGAGTGTGTGAGTTTGTGAAATTACACATGTATAGATCCGTGTCGTTCCTATACGAGATTTGTGTTGTGTAGGTAGATGCCAACGGCCTACGTCCTTGCTTAAAATCTGGGTCAAGAAACAAGGTTAGTTGCTCATTTCTCCTATTCGACTCTTGCATGTGGTACAAGCATACAATTAGAATATGTATTACGTTTATGATGTTCATCACTATACTTGATAATGGGATATATACATTTTCTGGTATATTAGATGGTTTGATAAAATTTGATGCGGATTCAAGTATATCTTGAAGATTTTTAATGCTTTCGTAATAATTTTTGTGTTAAGAGTATATAAAATTATATAGGGTCAGCCATATATTTTTTTAAAATGCTATAAAAAACTACTGAATATTTTTTTAAATTTCTTTTTTTATTCGAAAGTGCAATTCTTCCAGTTAATAATGGACCAACTTTGTTTGAAAACGCTCAAATGGCTGTCTAACACTTAAATGGCTGCGAAAAAAATCTAAATGGCTCCCAAAAAAAAAATTATATATACGGACCTTATAGGGTGAATGCGGATATTGAATTTTATTGATGATTTGATAAAAATTATACTTATGTTTTCAGTGGCGTAATTGTATGAGAGGTGACCCCTTGTTTTGATGCCCCCCCCCCCATCGTACAACGTGTAATTCATTACGCTGAAAAATCTCGGAATTTATTAAAATTAGACCCCGTACAACTGTGACTGTAAAAATCGTCACGTGACTGTAAAAATCGTCACGTTCTTGTGCTTGGTTTACTTCGAATAATTTTCTGGTTTTTGTAAATCGCAGATTCTGGTATATAAATTTAATTAATGATTTGATGAATGTTTATCCTGATGTTTACAGTGGCGTAACTATGGCGTTGGGGCCCCACCCATTATATTCATCACTATACTTGATAATGGGATATTTACATTTTCTGGTGTATTTGATGGTTTGATAAAATTTAATACGGATTCAAGTATATCTAGAAGACTTTTAAACATCATTTCGTAATAATTTTGATACTAAAATAGTATATCAAATAATAGAATATATATGAAATATGCGGATTCTGGTATATGAAATTCCATGGATGATTTGACGAAAATCTATACTTATGTTTTCAGTGGCGTAATTGTATGAGAGGGGGCCCCTTGTTTTGATGCCCCCCTCCCCATCGTACAACGTGTAATTCATTCCGCTGAAATATCTCGAAATTTATTAGAATTAGACCCTGTACAACAATGTCACGAATTTTGCTGATGGAGCTGTGAAAATTTTCACATTGTTGCGCTCGGTTTACTTTTAATAATTTGCTGTTTTCTGAAATTTTATTGATGATTCGTTCAAAATGTACACTGATGTATACAATGGCGTAACTATGCATGGCGATGGAACCCTTTCTTTTGATGGGGCCCCACCCATCATGCAACGTGTAATTTATTACGCTGAAAAATCTTGCAATTTATTACAATTGAACCGACTTCAACAACGTTACAATTTTTGCTGATTAGGGGCAGTTAAATCGTATATAATGACTAGTATCGTATATAAACTAGGTCGTATATAGTAACTATATGAACTAATAGGGCTCTTTTTGTGGGGCTCCACTCATTATAAAACGTCTTCTTAATTGCACTGAAAAATCTCGAAATTTATTAAAATTGAACAGATTACAACAACTTCACGATTTTTACAAACAGGGCAGTCAATATCGATTATATAATTAATATCCACTCACTAGTATAATTCCTAAACTGGAAATACTTATAACATTCACAATGTATACTACATCTAATATACTTTACTAAAGTTCTAATATACTTTAAACAAATAATTTCAACTTTGCAATTCAGTTTATATAATTCTTTTAAATATTAGACAATGATACAATATTTATAATGAGCTATTTGAAACATTTAATATTTCTCGAGCATTTTGTTACCATACGGGAAGTTCCAGCAATTTGCCTTAAGGCACGATGCCATACCCAACCAATTTTTCTGGTAAATCTACGAACCATATTTGTGTGTTTGTAAAATTCAAGATTTCAAATCATAATTGCTAACTGACTGTTTATCCGTTATTTGTAGGACAATCCATATATGTATACTATTTTTTCTAATAACGTTAAATTATAATTAAGTTCCCGTAGGGTAAGTTATAGTAATCGCAAAAAAATCGAAATTGAAAATTTTTATATATTCCTTAGACATGCCTTGAAAAATATTGATGTATGTGTGTGTGTGTATGTGTATGTGCGGATACAAATTTTCCGAATTTCGTAAATGGTAGCAGATAGTAAAATGACAATCTGATAAAGTAGATTCTTTTTCTTTTTATCATCAATTTAATATTTGAGTTTAGTTTAAGCAAATAATGATTTTTAAATAGGCGGAAGATAGTTGCAACAAAAAAGCAACTAATTTGATGCAATTTTTAAATTGACGTCATTCTATTAATATAGGGAAAATATCACTTTCATAAAAAATATTTAAATAATTGATTATAGATCATTTTGGTTGAAAACTTGTCGTATCTACACATCCATACAAATTTTGTGCTTCAAAATACAAATCCAAACAATGTTTTCGGAACTAAAAATAACTATAGAACTCATACCTCACTACATAAGGAACGAATAATACACATCAATTTCACTTCATATGACTGCACAATTCAATTTAGTGTATAAAAGTTAAAAAGCCTTACTACTGGGTAACCTGATCATCTACCCTTGTCGCAATTGGTATCTTTTTTAAAAAAAAAATTATATGCATCTGCTTAGTTGTTATCTTTTTTATTCTCATATTCACAGCAATTAGAACCTTACGTCCTATGAGCTGTTGGGCTGAAACTTCTCCTTACTACGTATTTTTAGATGGTAACCCAATGGATAATCCATCCATATATGATGATTTTTTATTAGAATTTATCTAATAAGGCTCACTTTGTATTGGTGCAGCTATACCGGGCAAGGGCTATTTTCACTTGGAAACAAATTGCTATCTATATTTCCAAGTGAAATCCGTTGTCAACAACGTTGTCAACTGTTGCTTGATAACAGGCTGCACAAAGTGAATCTCGAACCCGGGACCTCTGAATCAAGTCCCTTCGCTCTTATCCATAACCTTAACCTTAATCAATGCTGAAATTTTAAATCTACGAAGCATCATCGATAATAATTTAAAAAATATGGATATTATCAGTCTTCGTTTTAACAATGCCTGCCGTGATGTGATGTGACCTAACAAGGCCGCTCTCGGTCCGGAGTTGGTCGTGTGCGCTTTTGTGCGCTTATTTATGCATTTGTCTCCCGTGTGTGGTATATGGTATATGTGGTGTGTGGTATATGGTATATGGTACATAGCACGACATAACGTGGCTTATGGTGCAACGACGAGACGGATCACATCATGTGTGAGGCTGAATTACTTATACAGTGTACGGGAAACAGTACGTCCCGCGGATCCCACAAACTTGATATTATTGTGCCGCAAACCAGGCTGCCGATGTCGGAATGATATCGCAGCGAATGCATA